TTAAGAGATGTAAAATTAAAATGTGAGGACAGAGAAAAAATAAGACAAATAAATGAAACCATGCAACCTGTAAGATCTGTTTTGTACTTCTTAGAGGACTGCTTCGAAGCTCACACAGAGCTAACACATGCTAACATACTTCAAGACATGTAAGTAGCTTTTAAAATGTATTATTACTAATAAAAATTTATTGTTTCTTTATTATTACTCCCACAAAAATATGACCACCTTGAACTCCTAGACAAAAGCATGTACATAAGTAGATGGGTAGGGTAATGGAGGGAAAGCAGTTTTGCAGATTGAGACAAACAGGATTTTGAATTTTGGATACATCACTTGAAGGTGTGTCACTTGGTCAAGCCACGTCACCTTGTTTGGCTCCAAATTTTTGTCACTAGTAAGTGGAATAAGCCTCACAGGGTGATTACCAGGATTTGACCACTAAATGCATTATTGATATGGCACCAGGCACAAGACACTCAGAAAAATTACATTTTCATTAAACCCTTACTACACATTATTTGCATATAGCTTCTCCTGGCAATCTCTAAGTCCCCAAAAAGGAAAGGACACTAAATCTCAGCCGTGCTTATGAGGCTTAAGAACTGAAATGAGCAGACTGGGTATAGAGGAAGTGAGGTTGGCGTTGTCTTAACATTACCTTTGGCTTTTATCCTGATGGCATTCCTGAGTGTGGGTTGCAACTTTTGGTCTAGGACCTCTCTGATCTGGGATCCATTAAAATAATTGTGAAGAAGGGATGGTGGTTCCAATACACTAGTATGATACTTCAGCCACCTTCCTCTCATATAAAGTCTGGAGATAGGAAGTAAAACTATCACCAACATAACAAATCAATGCAAGAGTTTGCATACTAGGTTCACTATGTCTGATAGAAAAAAAAATCTCAGTTTCCTCCACTATAAATTGGGATCAGTAGCTGGGTGCAGTGGCTCACACCTACCTACTTGGGAGGCTCAAATCAGGAGCATTGCAGTTGGTGGCCAGCCCAGGCAAATACTTTGTGAGACTCTATCTCCAAAATAACCAAAGCAAAATGGACTGGAGGTGTGGCTCAAGTGGTAGAACACCTGCCTTGTAAGTGTGAAGCCCTGGGTTCAAACCTCAGTCCCACCAAAAAAAAAAAAAGTGGATCAGACCAATACCTTCTTCATAGAGCTGTTGTGAGGATAAACTAAGATTTAAATACAAAGCACTTAGAGCAATGACTGGCATATGGTTAGCACACACTAGATGCTCATTCTAGTCAGTTAATTAGTTAAAATGCTTTTGCTTTGCACATGCACCCAAGTTACTAGGCATAGTGTGACTGTCTCTCTAAATGGGACTGGGGTCAGAGAGCTGGAGAGAGGAAGAACTCTTACTATTTAATATTCCTTTGCACTGCTTGGAATTTTTATCCTATGCATACATCCTTTTTCTACCCAAAAGACAGAAATATTACGAATAATGCAAAAATCCCTTTGTCTAAATATTTACCATGCTAGTTTTTATTAACCCTCTCTTTCTGGAGAAGACTAGAAAATTCTTCTCCATCTTTAAACGTATCCCCAAGCAGGGCCAAAATCTGGCCTGTGATTTCCTTTTCTAGGACCTCCAATCTATGAAGGTTTTTTTTTGACACTTTTAAAAGAACTACATGTATAAAAGAATATGTTCACTATCTGGTTTCTTACTGAAAAAGTTTCTCTAGGGCACATGGTGGCTCACACCTGTAATCCTAGCTATTCAGGAGGCTGAGATCCAGAGGATCATGGTTTGAGGCCAGGTTGGGCAAAAAGTTAGCAAGACCCCATCTCAGGTGTGGCAGTAGGTACCTGTGGTCTCAGCTATGTGGAAGGCCTTAGGTATGAGGACTGTGGTCCAGGCTGGACCAGGCAAAAAGCCCTGCCTGAAAAAGGGATGGAGGCATGGCTCGAGGTGCAGAACCTTTGCCTGGCAAGTGCAAGGTGGGGAATTCAAACTCCAGCCACCACCCAAGCAACAACAGCAACAAAACTCCACAAAAACTCTCATGAGAAACACTCAGGTGACTTGTTCAGAGCATGGGGATGGCGATTTCTGGGGACCAGGCACGTGGTAGGTGCTTGATTAGGATTTTGATGAAGAGGCTCACTGGAAAAATATTCTTCCCTTCTCTCTTTTAGATGATGTGTGGCTGCCCCTACTCCCCAAAATATCTAGCAATAAAATACCTTCCCTTGTTTGCATAAACCACTCCTTATCCAGGCAGAGAAGGTCTTGTTAGTGTTAACAGTGGCTGCCTTTCTGCCAGGAAGGTCACATTTTGGGTTAAGGAATGGAGGAAGAGTAATACTAATATACACCTCTAGGTGGCGCAATAGCTCTGAAAAATAGGCTCAGAAAGTGCTAGATAGGAGAGTGAATGAATAAGTGTTGTGATTTCAGGGTTTTCGGTCTTTCACAAACAGGGAGTAGACTTGGCTCTGTCATGTACCTGCTAGGGAACTGCCAGAAAACTACTTTAAGTTTCAAGGGGATGCTGTGGGCATCAAATAAAATAATGGAGTCACTTTGAGGACGGTGGATACAGTGCAAACGTAGAGCTTTTCCTTGGGCACAATACCCAAGGCAAGGTAATTTTCATGCCCTCCTTGTATGCTAATAATGAGGTGTGGGGAACCAGGGAGGATCGGTGGATGGGGAGGCAGGGTTCAGTGGCAAGAACTAAGTCATAGTTACTTAGATAGCAATATGAAGTGCTGTGTGACACTGCACACTAGGGTGACTATAAAACCCAGCATGTACTGTATATTTAAAAAAAAAACAACTTGAAGAAAAGATTTCTAAATGTTTGATAAGTGAGCCAGGCATGGTGGTTCATGCCTGTAATCCCAGCACTTGGGACGCTGAGGCAGAAGATCTGAGTTTGAGACATAATGAGACCTTGTCTAAAAAATACAAAAGAAAGAAAGACGAGACAGATAAGAGATAGGTACGTTTACCCTGGTTTGAACACTAGCAATGTATACATGTATAAAAGCATCACACAGTAAAATTTTCTGTCTTCATGTATCAGTTAAAAATACATTTAAGTTAAAAATTGCAAAACATCCTTTGGCATTTCCATTGCATCTACTTTGCAGAATGAGATGAGCACACAAAGCACCTTGCACAGCGTGGGGCACACACGGGTCAGCCCTCAGTAAAGGCCGTGTGTGCCGTGGTTCCATGCGTTTGTGCCTCTGTCTTGGGTTCCCTCTCTCCTTTCCTCTTGCCTCTCTGTTCACTTCTTCTTTCACCATCTTGACCCATTGGGATGTTGATGTCACTTTCCTGTTTCCAGTGCCACCCTCTCTCCCGTGTTCTACCTCCCTCCACTCGCCAGCCCCTCTGGCATCTCTGACTTTGTGGTTAAAACCTCCCTTCTCCCTTCTCCAAAGCTCCTCTTCTTCCTCTCCTACCTTAAGGGCATCACCCTCTGCCCACGATTCCTGATTCGCCTGTTCTCCTTTTCCTGCTGTGATCTACCTCACCACCTTCTGTGATTTCTACTGATTAAATGTCCTTTCAGTGTTTTTTTTCTCTCTCTCCTCATCTGCCCTGCCATGGTTGTCCCCACAATTATAGCTATAGCCTCATCTTACCTCCTTGCTTCTCCCTGCCTTTTTTTTTTTCTTCTGAAGGTAAATCTCATTATTTCCTTGTTCATAATCCCTCTATAGCTCCCTATTGCTAGGAGGATGAAGTCCAAACTTCATAGCTTCTAAAAGTCTGACTTCTGCCTCCCTCCCAGCCTCTCTCTTGCTATCCTCTGTACTTCCAGCCTGGAATATAATCCTGTTGAATTTGTGTTTTTAGCTTCTTGATTGACAAATCAAATTTCTTTTTGTCTCTAGGCCTTTGTACATGCTGGTTCTCCTATGTGCAAAATCCTTCCTTCCCTGCCTACCCTTCTTTCTCTGAATAACTCCTACTCACCTTAAAGGCATCAGCGCCTCCTCCCGAAAGCCTTTTGTGACATCTCAAGTATGATTTAGTGCTCCTTTTAGCCTCCTGGGATCTTCCTGTACTTACTTTAATTGGGCACCACTGCCCTTACTCTGTAGTATAATTTAATATCAGCTGCGGTAGCCTGGCATTTAAGATATATGTCCATTTGGCTGATTCTCTGCACTATATTTAGTGGGAAGCCAAATGTTCATTCATGATTTTTGAAAATCTAGAGAGCTCGTGTGATAGCAATCACTCAGTCAAGCTTCGACGTCTGGCTCTGCTAAACCGCTTATTGTATTCGGGTTCTGAGTCTCTCAAGCCTTTTCTTTGGGCCCAAGCAGACCCAGATGCAGAAGACAACTCTTTTATTTCCTGAAAGCCTTGTTCCCACAGGAGACATGGTGTGAAGCAGAAATTACTGAAGTCAAAGCGATGAAGTGGGACTTGGTTTGCCTTGTAGATCTTAGAGATCCTTTAGTCAGGCCTCCCATGGAACTCCTCCTGGGCTGGTTTCTTCCCAGGTCTCTTACTACTGCGCTACTTAGTTTCTTCCTCCTGCTTCTCACTCCTCCTGCTCCCTTTCTCCTCCTCTCCTCCTCCTTCTTCCTCTTCCCCTTTTCTTCCTCCCCATCCTCCTTCTTTCTCTTCATCCTTGTCATCCCTTTCTTCCCCCTTTTTCTTCTGCTCCATCTCACTCAAATTCCTATTTAATGAAGAGATTTTTAGGGTGTCTAAAATTTGCCCTCTCCTCATGAACTGCATCTCATCTTTACAGCTTGTGAAGGCATCATGTTTGAATAGGGCCTCTACATAGACAGACGTGTGACATCACATAATTCCTCTATTTCCCCCATTCACATTTTGTTGATTTGTCTGTCTCTATGCGACTCTATGAGAGCAGGCATCTTGTCAGCCTTTTTCACTGCTGCCTCCTCAGCACCTAGAATTTGGTTGGCGCATATTGGGATCTTGATAAATATTCATTGAATGAGTACATGATTCATAGGTGAATGGATGAGTGAGATGTTAGTTACAATAATAATAATAATACCAATTCAACTCTGCTCCCACTTCTGGATCACCATGGAGAGATGCTGGAGCCCAGCCCACATCAATGTTCTGATACTCTTGCCATTACTGCAAACCAAGTCCAGTTGTTCAATTGTTAGGTCAGTTTTGCAATCATGTGAGAGTTAAAAGGCCTACAGCTTCCTTTTAGCTTAAGAATGTAGACGAGCACAAGACCAAGATGACACAAGAGGTCAAAAGGTAATGGCTAAGATTTTCTTGAACACCATTACTTGTGGGGATGAGCCCTCCCTCCCTCCTTGCTCCCTCCCTCCCTCTCTGCCTCCCTCTCTCCTTCCCTTCCTTCCTCCCTTCCTTTTGTCCATTCATTCACCCAACTATCCATTTGCCCATCCATCCAAGCATCCAACCATCCATTTATCCATCTATACAAAACAATATATAATATCATGTATGTAGATTGATCTATCATCTATCATCTATCTATCTATCATCTATCTATCATCTATCTATCTATCTATCTATCTATCTATCTATCTATCTATCATCTAACTATCTATCTAATTGAGAAATATATTCTGGCCCCAATGGTGTGAAATGAGAACATCATCAATGCCCACTTAACCAAGTTATTATGAAATTTAAATGCTGCTACATGGGCAAACCACCCAGCACTGGGTTTGGTGCATAACAAAAGCTCAATAATGACTTCCGTTGTTATTATTAGGATCTGAGTACCACACCCAAATTCCACAGTTCCAACACTTTCCCAGCTAGAGACATCAAATATCCAGATCAATTTTATTATCCAGAATTTTTGGAAAAAGAATAGGGTGAATGAATCTGGAAAAGTAGGTAGAGTCAGGCTGAACCAATAAACAGAGACTGGGAGATTGGAGTGGGCAGAGAAATTGAGTGGAGGGTCATGTGGGAATATCTGTCTCTAGGATGTTTCCAAAAGTCAGCCTTCAGATGATCTTACTCCATCATATCAGGCATCTGTAGGAGTAGGCAGGAAGCACGAACATAGGCAGGACTCAGGAACATAGTGTTGGCTTGCTTGCTCTTCTCCAAGCGATAGCTGGTCAACCCAGGCCCAGATTACATCAGGGTGCTGTGGGGCCTGATAGGAATATTGATCCGGCTTTGCAGCCAGTTGATGTAATCCTCTTGAGGCATATGGATGACATGTTCTCTAACAAACTGTGGGTTACATACAGTGTCAACCTCTGAATTTGGTCTGAAAGACAGACACTACCCTCCCTTACCTTCCCTCAAGATCCCAGGAGGTGTGTAACTGAGACTCACAACCTCAGTATGTCCCCAGCTAGGAAGCATTCACAAAGCCTGGATCATCAGGCTGAGCTGGTCTCTTTGAGAAAAGGGACACTCTCTCTAGCGTCCTGGTTCAGTAGGCTAATTTTAAACCCTTCTTGTTGCTGCTGACCCAAGGAAATTGGAGGAAGGGAGAAAACCCCAGCCAGGTGCATTGTTTTCTCTTTCCTACTTCTTGATAATCTTTTTAAAAAGTCATTTGTCCTTAAACTTTTTTTGGTTCATTGACTCCTTTGAGAATTGATGACAGCTCTGGGCTTGCTTTCTAGGAAAAGGTTTAAGACACACACAATGTAGTGTTTCAAATAGACTTGATTCAGGATCCCTCCTCCCCCATGGGCTGGTTATCAAAAGTTCTGGCAGAAGAGCATGCTAAATTCTAGTATTTGGAGCTCTGAAATCACCTCTTTCTTCTTACCCACTCAGCATTGCCTCTTCCATGAACCCCTATAACTGGTGGGTGGGAGCTAGATCCCATAACTGGTAGACACAGCTGCCTCAAGTTATTTCTGGCCTAGCCTGCTAAGTTTTCCCTACAGGTGCCTCACAGGGTGTGGGGAGTGGATTCTGTACTTCTGATTAGTCCACAGGGTCACCCTCCCCAGCTTATGACCTTGCTCCTGGGCACACGCCACCTATGGCACAGGTCATCCTATGGAAGGACCAACCTGACAAGAAACTGCCACGATCCCCAAAGCCTGCCTAGCCTGAGGAACCCTCCATTGAGGGGGGCATCAAAGGCCCTATTAATGTATCTGATAAAATTAAGGATGCCCCATAAACACCTATTAGCCCTTGTTACAAAGTCCTTCCCACTGCTGCCTAAGGGAACAGAGCTCTAGGAACTTCTGGTGGTGATGGTGAACACTACTGAAAGCCATCAGTGGCTCCTCAGCATCCATGAGATAGAGGCTGAAATCTTTACCCTGACCTTCCCAGGTCTGCACAGGCTGACTTAGGCACTTCCCATTCACTTCCTGCTGCACCCATTGATGTTCAATGAGTTCCTCCAACAAGTCAAGTCATGTCCTGCTTTGGAGCCTTTGCACACACTATCCCTTCATCCTGACCTGCTCTTTCCCCTTCTCTATGTGATTCTGAGTTCTCACCTCTCAGGTCTCAGCTTAAAAGTCACCTTCCCCAGTTACCTTAGTTAACGTAGGTCCCCCTTACTTTGAACCAGAGGGCCTTTAGCTTTGTTGTGCATATAATACACCTGGGATATCATTGCAATGTCAATTCTGAGTTGGTAGATGGGGTTTGGAGCCTGAGATTTTGCATTTCTCTCTCTCTCTCTCTCTCTCTCTCTCTTTTGGTGGGACTGGGGTTTGAACTCAGGGCTTCATGCTTACGGGGGCAGGTGCTCTACCACTTAAGACAAGCCTCCAACATGTTTTGCTCCAGTTATTCTGGAGATGGGGTCTCGTGAAGTATTTACCTGAACTGGCCTCAAACCATGATCCTCCTGAGCTCAGCCTCCCAAGTAGTAAGGTCCTCACCAGCACCTTACTGAGATTCTGCATTTCTCCTAAGCACCCAGGTGAGTCTTTACTGTGGGTCTGTGGAACTCACTTGCGGTTGCAAGATTTGGAGTGCTGTTATTATGTTTGTCCATTTATTTATGTCTCCTCAAAGCCTCTGAGATTCGAGGGGGCGCCATGTTTGTAGACGCCAGTGTCCCTTGGAGTTGGAGTTGAACCACCAAGGTCATGGGACCGTCCCTGTCCTATTAGAACACGAGCTCCATGGAGGAAGGGGCCTTTGCATCTCTTGCTCACTGGCTGGGAGTTGAGAAACGACTGGATGAGGGCACCTAAGTTGTTGTATGTCTGGGAGAGGGGGACAGCATTTACCTCGATAGCCACGGCAATGTCGGGGGAGCACAGCTCCCAAATCCTCAGATCTTGCAGCACCTTCAGGAGGACATGGGGCCGGATTCTCAGGTCCAGGTTCTCCCCAAACTTCTGCAGTTTTGTCAGGATCTTTTTGGCAGGGCGGAAGTTCTTCAAATCCTCAGGGAGCTTGGACAGCAGATCAAAGTACCTTTGATTCCAAGAGGAGAAGACCAGTTAGGGAGATACTGGGAGGGGGAGCTGGGCCCTTTGGGTCCTCCTCAACTTTCTCTTTCTACCACTCATGGGATGTCTTTAGGCAGCATAAGGCTCTATCTGGGGGCCTTTCCCCCATCCTAAATTGTTCATGGCCTACAGCTCAGGCGAGTCTTGGTTTTTAGAGGTTGGGAAACCTGGAGCATGAATTGTATTTCACTGGAAAACAAATTAAGGGTGTGCTTTCAAAGGATGCATTTATAGTTTTTCTGTCAAGCAAGCAATGTGACAAATTAGTAGGAAAAGGGGGACATTAGGGTCGGAAGCTCCTCTTAGAATTAATCAGGCCTGGGTGGACACCTCCATAGGATGTCTTCCAGGATGCAGGCAGCGCCTACCTTACAGACACGATGATGATGGTTGTGTATGTGAGTATTTTCAACTCCCTGGTAATGAGCAACCTCAATCCACAGCTTGTGTTTCAGGGTCATGACAGAGTGCAAGGGTAGGCTGGGAATGAACCATTGAGAAGGTAGGAACAGGTAGGTTCTAACCTACCTTACTTAGGTCTAACCTAAACGGATGGTTCAGATGCGGTCAGGGCTTAGTTAAGGTAGGACATGGCATGTCTTTAAAACGTACCACCGTCCCTCTGTTATATATGTGCCCATTGTGGAAAAATTTAAAATTCATCCATCAAACATTTTGGGTTACTATATTGCTTTATGCTGATATATGTATATATGTGTTTGTGTGTATATATGTGTGTGTATGTATATATACGTATTTATCCATATCTCCTTGTGTAGAGTGAAATCTCCATGAGAACAGACACTTAGCCTGAGTTATTCAGGATCCCATGCCTAAATAATGTGCCTAACTTGCAGTGGGTGCTCAATAATTACTATTTGAAAGACTGGATGAATGAAGAGTTACAGCTCAGCATGGCTGTTAAGCTGTGGTTCATTTGACTTAGCCATAATGGTACAATGAGGGGCAGTCACTTTCCTCACAATGATTCCAGAAGTTCCACCATTGGAGAGAGGGCTGAGTCCCACTGTGGAGGATCAGCATTAATTTCCCATGGTAATGCCACTACAGGAGTCAGCTTATAACTCCCTCTCTCCTTTTTGGAGGGGAGGAGAGAGGTCCCCTTGAGAGCCTCGTGGAACTTCAGCATCAGATACTGCTTTTGAGAAAGAGGGAGACAGCATGGATGGTCCTGCCACTCTGCTAAGGCCCCAGGGAAGAGGAAGCTCCTCTTCCACATTATTAATGTCATGGGGTAGATACCTGGTGAATCTTTCAATCTTCCCATCTTATTATTTGATCTTATTTAGTCCTCCTGTGGAATGGGGTTTGTGACATCACAGACTCCATCATTAGACTCAGTTCTGAATTCCAAGTGAGTGCATAGATCCTGGGCCAGACAGGGGCTTCCCTCCTAAATTCACCACTTCCTAGCAGTGTGACCTTGGACAACTGAATTGACTTCTCTGAGCCTGCTTCTTTGTGAAATGAGGGTTAATATGCACCATTCAGGATTTTGGGAAGGGGGAATAAAAGAAATAATTTGTGAAATTTTCTTCTTTTTTTCTTTTTTTTGAGATAGGAGAATTTTCTTAGGGCTATCTGACATTTACTGGGCACTCAATTCATATTTTTTTCATAGTTTGTATTTTCTTTTTAAAAAATAGTCTTGTATTGCTTTTAATTGACACATAGTAATTGTACTGCTGGTGGGGTATACAGTGTGACATTTTAACACTTATGTATGATGCCTAATGATCCAATCAGGATATTTAGATACCCACGGAAGCACTTATCATTTCTTTGTAGTGAGGACATTCGGCATTCTCTCTTCCCCTCATTTTGAAATATACAATACTGTTAACTACAGTCAGCTCACTGTGCAACAGAACACCAAAACTTACCATGTTGCTTTTTGTTACTGTGTGTCATCACCCTGGGCTGAGGCACCATGTTCCTAGGATGTGCCTACTTGGTTTTATATCCTCAAAGAATTAAGTTATTTGGGGGGGGCAGGGATCACCTCACAGACCTCAGAATTTGTAGAGATATTTAGGTTGGCTTACTGCATGTCTCGCTCTGCTACGGGGGCTACCAAGTTGGTTCTCCTTATTTGTGGGTCTGAACTAAGCAGAAGGTAAGTATGGAGACAGGATAGCTGATGCCTGGTTCAGAGACCGACAGGTTCTTCCCCCACTGGGCTCCGGATTTGGACTGTTTGGCACAATGCTGTTGGTGACTATAGCAATTTGGGGATGCTGTTTCTCTTTGCCTCATAGGATAATGGATTTAACTGCAATGCGGTGATAATACCACTTCCCTTCTCAGGGTCCATCTTTTCTGGTTCTCAGGTTCTTACCAGTGGTCTGCAATTTCTTCTGCGTCCCCTTTCATTACTGAGACTTGGTGTCTCATCTTCGCTATGTCCTTTTGGAAATTTGAGGCAAGGACGAAAGAGTGGAACTTCTGGAGACCTCGCTCTTCTTGGCGCCTATAGGGTTGTGTGAGAAAGATGAAGAGGAATCAGAGCCATCTTGGCTTCCCTTTGAGGTCTGAACTCAAACACCGTTTCCTCCATGAGGGTCCTGCTTAACCCTCTCAGCAACTTTTTAATTTATGACTTGGCTTTTACCACAAGAAGATACCGCTCTCTCCAGGGTCCAGAAATAATTTTCTTACTAAATTAACCTCTGCATTTACACAGATTTCTCATTTATAAAATGGAAGACAATCACGGCTCCTACCTTTCAGGGGTGAAGACTGAATGATGTGTGTAAAGTACCAAGCTTACTGCTAGGCACCCAGTAGCTTTAATCATGCAGATTCCTCTTCCCCAGTCCCTTATGATTTTGTGCGCATGTATTCTCTCTTCAAGGATGATTTATATTATAAATGTAACCATGGTAATCCCCTGCCTATGATGCTCAATGATTTTGCATTTTACTACTAAGAAATAACTTTGAGCAACTTGTCATTTAAAGTTCCAGAATATTCAGTCCCTACAACATTGCTCAGCTTCATCATCATGACTAGACTTTTATGCTTTGACTTATGATCAAAGTTTCTAGGTAAAGTTCAACCTCCACTGCTGGGTTAGCAAAGCCTTTTATGATCTGGCTTCTGTCTTTGTCTGATCATCTTGCAAACATCCTGAGGCCCAGCCACACCTGGCTACTAGAAATTCCTTGGCTTACTGTGTCTGTCCTCTCTGGCCTCTGGGACTTTGCTGTTGCTTTGCCTTTGAGCTCCCTCCCCTCTTAATTTTCCATCCTGACTCTCTGGTTTTGATTTCTACCTTTACTATTTAGTCACTTAGGAGACATTTGACCAGAGACACTTCTGTGCAGCTGACTTTTGTCAACTATAAAATGGTTGAGGAATAAATGATGCATCAATACAAAATTCTCATACTGTGACTGGTACGTGGTTCTCTGGAGCACACTAATATGGTGCCCTGGAAATATCACCTATTCTCATTAAAGCAAAGTTGTTTTCTCCAGGAAGACCATTTTGATCACCCCCTGCTGGCCCTCATCGTCCTATGTGACAGTACCCTGTTTCCATGTCTGTCTCTTATACTACACTGGGAGCTCCCAGAGGGGAAGGTCAGGGTTCGTCTTCTCCACACCCCTGGACAGAGGTGTAAGAATGAGAGTGCAGAAGGTCACCTGGCCTCCCCCCTTGGATGGATGGTCACTGTAGTCAAGGAATGGACTAAGAAGAAGGGCAGTAGATGGGTTGCCAGAAGAGAAGAGACACAATCACAGTAGCGTTTGTGGCTGTGTGTAAGGCAGCCCTTGCTACCACTTTTCACTCCTATTTAAGTTCCCATGTCCCTTCTTCCCTTGGGGCTGTGTATGCACTTTTCCTGCCACCTAGAATGCCACCTAGAATGGTCTCAGGGCCTTGCACTTCCTAAACAACTTCTCTACCATCTGAGCCATGCCCCCAGCCATCATTGTCTCCTCTTTCTCCTCCTCCCCCTCTTTTTTCTTCCTCTTCTCCTCCTCCTTCTTCCTATTCTCCTCCTCCTCCTTCTCTCTTTCCCTCCCTCCTCCCTCCTTCCATCTCCCCCTTCTCTCCCCACTTGCTCTCTTCTTATGGAACAATTATCATTTGTACTTTTATATTTACAGATGCAGTTTCTACCCACATTTCCCAGGAGATGCTTGGCTCCCTGAGGGCAGGGAAGAAGTCTTTCTGGTTACTGCTACAACCCCAGCACCTGCCACCTAGTGGGCACACAGTAGGCGCTGGATAAAATGTCCTTTGGGTAAGTTGGGTGTATGCATGCCCTTACTTCATGAGAATTTCCATCTTGTCTTGCAGGCAGAAGCCAGCCTCCTGGGCTATGCTGTAAAATTTGGCTCGCAAGCTGTCACAGACTCCACTCTTGTACTGGATGATGTCACGGTTAACACGGCTATAGACACAGATGAGAAGGGATTGGGGGATGGAGCCCAGGGGACACCCCAGTAGTCTCATGGACCCCACTCTTGCCTTCATGGATTCCAAGATACTCTGCAGTAGGAATTCCCCGTGCCTTCATCTGGAGCCTCCCTCAGCATTTCCCAGAAATCAGAAGGACAGGCCATCCCAAGAACATCAGGTGGGTGTTTCTGGACTTATTAAAGAAGCCCACAGTGAGACAGGTGGTCACTCAAGCCCAGTGTTTGTTAAGGACAGTGAAACAGAATTGGGAAATGGGAGATTCACTCTCAGACTCTAGTTCCAGCCCTTCTTAGCTGTGTGGCTTCAGGCGAGATATCTCCCTTGACCAAGTCTTAGCTTACTTCTCTGTAAAATGGGATTATGCTCCTGCACCACAGGACTGGTTTTGAGGAATAAGCAAGATAATGGATTCAGAATGATCCTCACAATGTCTGGCACCACAGAGGGATTTCTTACGTTTTCGACTTCTTCTGGGTCACCTGGGTGTGACTTTCCATACTTGTGGTGCTGGATTGCTCACTGAAACATCAAGAGATGGTTTCAAGTCTCCAGTCTGCTTGTCATAAACAGGGTACCTGTGGGACTCTTGAGACCCTTGCTAGATTCCAGGATTCAGGAAAGGGAGGTCGTTTTAATCAAAGCACCAGAACTCAGCGTGTTTGTCCCACCTCTTGGTTTTTGCTCCTGCCACACTCCCTGCCTGGAGGACCCCTCTGGTTCCTCTTCCATCTACTCAGATCCTACACTAATGGTCCACAGTGATCCCACATGCCTGGACTCTCAGTTCAGTGTTGACCTCCTGCCTGTGCATACTGTTGGGATTACGGATTTTCTGGATCTCACTTTCATTTGTGTAATTGGCCTCTCCATCTAGAGAACGGGTCTGATTTTAACCCTTCCATTCTCTTCTCTTCACCCAACATTTAATATGGGGCCAAGTGGATATTAGGTAAAGTGATGGCTGAGTCCTAACTGTGCTATCTTTGGTGTGTCTGACCCCAGATGGCCTCTTCATTCAAGGATGCTTTTTTTCTAAGCTGAACCCTTGAGCTGAACACACCCATTTTACTCTGCTTTGGAGGCAGGTAGAGCCAGATCCATCACCCAACCCAGCGGACCTCTCCTGGTCTGTGGGTAAGCACCTGCCCTCTGGGTCATCAGTTTCCTCACCTGTGATCACCCAACTTGTCACACCAGCTGACCCTTTCTAGGCGTGGACAGACTGGATCTCTTGAGTGGCTGCTCTGTACTGTGACTGCCTGGGCGGGGTTCCTCAAGGGGAGCAGAGAGCCCCTACTCAGGTTACCTCTCTCCTATCTTTCTCCCAGGTCCTCCTTTAGTAACCTGGGCCTGGAACGTCATTGTCTAGTACCTTCTCTACCTCCTGTCTTCCCTTATTTCTTCCAAATTCTTGGACAAGTGACTTGACTACTTTATCTGTGTGGTCTCAGGAGGCAAGTCTATCTGATCGCTCCTAGGATGCATAGCTAACACTTCTTTTCAGGCCCTGTGGCATTTGGGACTTCTTTAGGCAGACAGGCCCAGTCATCTCTCAGACCCCTCCCTGTAGGAAAGGGCTTTGCCGCTTTTCCCAGAGCTTGTGTGGCACTGTACCTAGAGGTCTTAGGCCTGGTAGGTGATGGGCAAACCATTATTCTGCCTGTAATAACATCCAGAAGGCGTTATTTAAGAATTCCGATCAACTGCCCCAAATGCCTGCAGAAGAATCCTTGGGGGGACCATGTTGGCTGTAATTTCCTCCTGAAGATACCTCTCTCCTTTTCTAGAGCTTTGGCAGTGACTCAGAGAGGAGGTGGGAAGTGGGGAAAATGATATTATTAGCTTGTGATAAGCAAACAAACAGAAACAAGCCATAAAAGACCCCTTTGCCCTCCTCACTCCCCTCTTCCCTTGGCCCTCATTGAACGTCAGCCAAACTGGCCTTTGCTCAGTGACTCTAAGCTTCCTCCTGTCTCAGGCCATTTGCACATGCTCCTCCCTCAGCTTGAAGACCATTTCCACTTTCTCCACCTCACAGAGGAGCCAATTCTTTGTTTTGGGGTCTTAAATACCAACCTCACTCTTGGTGAGGACCCTAGTGCTAAAAATTTTCCCAACTTTCCCTCCTTTTTCTTCAGAATACTTTTCACAGCCATGATTTTATGGCCAATTACAGGATTACCTGAGAGATGCTTGACACCCTTATTAAACCCTTAAATATGGGCAGAATTCAAGGGGTCCATGAATGCAGGTGGGGAAAAAGGCTTCATCGTTATTCGAATTAGCTTTTCACTGAAATACAAATCACAGGTATTTGCATATCACATTACAATTGTGGGAGATACATTGAAGAATCATTTAAACTCAACGCTTATCCGAAATTGCAGTAGCTATTAGACCTGCTGTTAAGTCTTATTATATAATGCATTGCTACAGAAGATCAGAGACTATGATGTTCCAAATTGGGTTGTGATATAGTAATCTATATTATTATAGATATCTTGGTAATCCTTTGTAATTTATAGTATGCATTTAGAACACTTGTCGGAAGGGAATTCATAGGGTTCTCCAGACTGCGTAAGCCTCCAGGAGAGGCACAAAAATGGTCCAGACGATGAGATCCACGAGGGTGGACTGTATTTGTTTTGTTTGTTTCTGATGCCTGACAGCATAGCACAGTTCCTGGCACATAGATGGGACCTAAGAATGTTCTCTAAATGAAAAAATGAAGTGTGTTGGGGGAAGATGGGGAGACCTGCATATCTCCTATTACAAATCACCTCAGTAAAGCAGGCAAGGGTGACTCATTTAGCTCCAGGTCCTCCAGGTTTGTCTACATGTATCAATAGCATCATGCTGAAAACCGCAAATATACAGAATGAAATTTATATTAAAAAAAGGACAGTCCCATGCCACATGCTCCCAACTGGAAAATTTCAACTTCATGGCACAGTGTATGATTGCTGGTGAGAACTGTCTGGTTTCTCACCCCAGCCTGAGTTAGGGGCTTGTTTCCAGGGGGTCATAAAAGGAGAAGGTGCCTCCCACTCTTCCCATGGCCCACCTGCTGCAGGCTTTTGACTTTTTTACCTTGATTTGTGGGTGGTCTGTCCCTCCTTGGAGGCAGACTCACTCTTGTTTTGCTTGGGCACAGACAAGGACACGATGCTGCAAAGCAAGAGGAGTCTGTTAACAGGAGCCCGACACAGATGTTCCTTGGCAGTCAGTGCCCGTGAGAGGACAAGGTCCTCTTTCTAGTGCCAGCTCTTCAGAGCCGGGACACAGGAATCACCTGGAGCTGCTAAGAGCACTTGGGCCACATGCCCAGAGGTGTGGACTCACTGGGACTGGAGAGAGGCATTTAAAACTAGAAACACACACACACCCCCCCCTAGAATTCAATACACACACACACACACACCCCTAGAATTCAATACACACACACACACACACACACACCCCTAGAATTCAATACACACACACACACACACACCCCTAGAATTCAATACACACACACACACCCCCTAGAATTCAATACACACACACACACACACACACACACACCCCTAGAATTCAATACACACACACACACACACCCCTAGAATTCAATACACACACACACACACCCCTAGAATTCAATACACACACACACACACACACATAGAATTCAATACACACACACACACACACTTAGAATCACACACACACACCCCTAGAATTCAATACACACACCCCCCCTAGAATTCATACACACACACACACACACACCCCTAGAATTCAATACACACACACACACACACCCCTAGAATTCAATACACACACACACACCCCTAGAATTCAATACACACACACACACACACACACACACACATAGAATTCAATACACACACACACACACACTTAGAATCACACACACACACCCCTAGAATTCAATACACACACACACACCCCTAGAATTCAATACACACACACACACACACACACATAGAATTCAATACACACACACACACACACTTAGAATCACACACACACACCCCTAGAATTCAATACACACACACCCCCCCAGAATTCAATACACACCACACACACACACATATCCCTAGAATTCAATACACACACACACACACACACACACCTAGAATCACACACACACACCCAGAATTACACACACATCTAGAACCTGTCTCTCCCACTCACAAAATCACAACGCCCACCTAGAATAAACACACATGTATACCCCTAGAATCACATACATACACACTGTAGAATTGTGTAGACACCCCAGAATCACACACACACGCCTAGAGTTCCAAACACATGCACACACACACCCATAGTTCCTCACATATGGAATTTCACATATACATATACCTAGAATTCTGTACACACACTCCTACATCTAGAATTACACACACCTTTAGAATTACACACATACACACACACCCCATATCTAGAATTGCACACACACACCTCTAGAATTCCCCCTCACATAGCATTCCCCAGAATTACATGCACAAATGCTCACGACTGCTATAATCCACACATGCGTACACACTCCTAGAATTCTGCACACACACACACACACACACACACACACACACACACATTTAGAATTACATGCACACACCCACAGAATTTGCCAGCATTTGGTGAAGTGGTACTCACTTGCAGCGCTCATTAAAAAATACAGTTGCCTCAGAGGTTCTGCCCTGGTGGGTCTGGGGCAAGGTCTAGACAACTGTGTTTTTCACAAGCACCCCAAGCTGATCTGATCTCCAGGGACATTTGGGAAACACAGCTAGAAGATTTTAAGAAAAACCTGTCTTCTTACATGATTGGGAGGTAATTCAGACTCAAGGATGAGGCTGGACAAGGCTGGCTTTTTGGGGTTCCTACACCCCTGAATTCCAGGCCACCCTTGCAGAGGGGCGCAGCTTTGGTGTGTAACTAAGTGAGTCTGTCTCCCAAAGTCGTCCCCCCCGCCCCCGGCTCCCATCACAGCTTCAGTATCTATTGCCTTAGCTAGAGATTAGGGAGGAGAATGTTTTCTCTGGAGGAATTAATGGGGAAGGGAAAGTCAACAAGTTACTGCTCTGTAACCAGGGTTATCTTATCATTAAACTGAATGCAGAGGCCACATAATGGGTTCAGGAGAACCAGACTCGAGGGCAACTTTGTCTTTAAAGACCTCATGAAAATCACTCATTGCTGCTCTTCTCCATCTGTGAGATGGGGTGCCGGTTACTGTACCTGCCTCCACAAGGTGCTGGGAAGTTTCCATGGAGAACATAAAGAGATAAAAGTAGTGATCACTTCCACACCACTGTCATTTATTGAGTGTTTACTGTACTCCAGGTATGGTAAGCTAGTACGTGAAGTACTAAATCCTTTAAATGACTCACTGAAGTAGGTGCTATTTCTATCGCATCTGCAATACTTTATAAGAACAGTATTTGAGTCTCACTACCGCCATTTTGCATAGGTTGCTAGCAAGCTTCATTTTACAGAATTGGAATCAGACTCAGAGAGGTGAAGCAAGCTGCTCCACCTCACACAGCCATCACATTGGTGGGTTGGAGACCATCTCTAGTCTATTTGGTTTCAAAGCCTTTTGTTCCAATGCCTTATGTGACACAATGTCATTTTATAGATGAGAAAACAGAGGCTCAGAGACAGGTTAAGTGACTTGTCCATGGGCACCAGATTTTGGACCCACATCAGCCTGACTCACACAGTAAGCTCTTATAAAAGAAGGGGGTCTCATCAAGCTGATTGCCATCATGAATGTCTGTCCCAAATGCTAACAAATCAGGTACCTCGTGGGTCAACATTATCCCCAAATGCCTCCACGTGCCACCTTCCAGAGCCTGATGTGAGTTGAGGCTGTAGCAGACAAATTCCTCACCCACAGGCAGAGGCGGGGTGTGATGCATGTGGAAGAGCTCGGTGAACTGTAATTAATGTAATAACAATAACCAATAAGTCACGGCCGGCATCCCAGTAGGCTGAAGGCAATGACGAACCTCTTCTCCTGCCTCATTTATTTTCCAGAAGTAATTTGCTTGCTCAGAGGGACCCACACTTGAGAAGGGAACTCTTGCTCTAGCTTGAGTTCTCTCTGAGACTGTTAGAGGTCAGAAGTCCTGGGCACAAGACAGATGACCCCTCAGATTCAAGTCTGACACTGTCTCTTCAGGAGCCAGCTGTACTGGTTGCTGGCTGGAAACTTCAAAGGATTGCTGTTGTTAGGATCAGAATCCTTGAGGTGAGGGACCCCAAGGTGAGATGCCCAGGCCAGTGTATGCCTTTCTTCACTCTATTTTTGGCTGCATTTCAGTTCCTTGGAGGAGTCATAGTACTTTCTGAGCACATTTGTACATAGCTGCCTGTTTTCTCTTTCCCCATCTTCTTTGCCTGTGCCCCACCGTCTTTGACAAGCTAGGTCTTTTTGCTTCATCCAAATCTCACCTTAAAGTTTCTTACAAGGGCAGAAGAAACCAATTCCCATTTCCATCCCAGACTAGATCAACACACCTATTTATTCATTTATTTGGCAGTAGTGGGGTTTGAACTCAGGGCCTCACACTTGCTAAGGCAAGCCCTTTTTCACTTGAGCCATGCCTACAGCTCTTTTTTTTTTTTAAGTTTGTTTTTCAGATAGACTGTCATGATTTTGCTTATGCTGGCTTCAGACTGTGCTCCTCCTACCATTTCTTGCTGAGTAGCTGGGATTATTGGTGTAAGCCACCACGCCCCACTCCAATTATCCTCCCTTTTCCTCCTCCCTTTCCAAGCTCTCCTTTCCTAAAACATTTCACAAGAATAATAAATGCAAGGTCTATACATATACATAAATATTCACGAGAAAAATGAATACAAAAATCAGAATTCCTGACAGGCAGTGTGGCAGAGTGGTGAGGAAGATGAAGTTTGAAATTAGAAAGATCTGGACTTGGGTCAGAACCTCATGGTTCACTAGCTGTGTGATCTTGAAGAAGTCACTTACTCCCTCTGAGCCCCATTCCCTTTTTGTAAAATATGGATAAGACCACCTACCTTGTTGGTAAGGACCCAGGAAAATGATACACATGAACAAACTACATAGCTCACTGCTTATGACAGAGACAGTGCTCAACAACTGGTAACTCCATTGTTAAATGTTTTTACCACTAAGCTGGCATCCTTTATTTGCCTACCTGGGAAGTAGCTTTTGCATTCCGTTTTCCATCATGATTGATCTTCGGGCATCTTCCCTGACCATCTCCAGGAGCTTCTGAAGATCTGATGGGAACATGAGAGGTCACCCTTGACCTTGACACAGGACAGTTGCAAGGCAGCCTCCAGCCCTCAGCCTGGGATTGCCTCTGCTTCTGAATGTCAGGGAGCTGGACAGAGATCCCACTGGACTCCAGAAGAGGTGGTTCATAGTGTTGGCAGGTTATATATCTGCCTGTGCCCCTCCCCTGCTTAAAATCCATCTATGGTTCTCCATGTTTCTTTTGCTAACATTATTACACATGAATTATGAGACCATGGAAGTCTCATAGTTTTTTTAATTTCTTTCCTCACTTTAAACTATTGTAACCAGAGAGAATTGTTACAAATTCTAAGAAGAAATGATCATATTTGGACATCCATCCTGATCTTCACAGGCCTGATTTTCCAAACTGGTGATTTATAGGCTAAATCCAACTCACAAATATATTTGATTTGATTTGAGGGAAGTAGGTGCTAACCCTTTAGAACTAGAAGGTTTCACATAAAAATTCAGGCCTTGAACTGGGTATGGTGGTGCATGCCTGTAATCTTAGCTACTTGGGATGTGAAGGAAGAAGGATCAAGTTCTGAGGACAGCTTGGCCAAAAGTGGGAAAGCCTGTCTGAAAGCAAACTCAAAGAACCCCAAAGGACTGCGGGTGTAGCTCAAGTGGCAGAGTGCCTGCTTAGCAAATGTGAGATCCTGCATTCTCCAGTTCTGCCAAAAAAAAAAAAAAAAAAAAAAATCCAGACCTTCGGCTTCCAAAGCAAGACTCTGAGATGGGGCCACACTGCCCTTGTTCCTGCTGAATGCTGACTGCGGGTTTTAGACAGGTGTGTGGTCTCCAGGTCTCCATGGCTCCCATCTCTCCTCATTGTGCCAGCTGATTTCCCTTGTGGTTTGGACATGAAGTGTCCCCTGCAAAAGGCTCTTATGTGGAAAGCTTGGTCTCCAGTTGGTGGAGTATTGAGATGTGATTGGATCACAAGGGCATTAATTCTCATCAATGGTTAACCATAGCTGAATGGGTCATTAGGAGGTGTGGCCTGGTTGGAGTCACTGGGAGCATGCCTTTGAAGGTTGTGTCTTGTCCCTGGACCTTTCCTCTCTGCTCACTCTCAGCTTCCCAGGCAACATGAGGCGAGCATCTGTCTCTTCCACGTGCTCCCGCGGTCATGATGCTCTGCCTTATCACAGTTCAGAAACAAGAGACCCAAGTGACCATGAACTGAGATCACTGAAACCATTAGCCAAATAAATTCTGTAAGTGTTTTCTCAGATTTTTTTTTGTCACAGTGCTGAAAAGTGACTAACGTGACTTTTCTTTTTTTGTTGGCACTGGGTTGAACTTAGGGCCTCATGCTTGCTAGGCAGGAGCTCTACCACTTGAGCCATTCCACCAGCCCTTTTTTGAGTTGGGTTTTTTTGAGATAGGGTCTCGTGAGCTATTTGCCCAGGGCTGACTTCAAACCACAATCCTCCTGATCTCTGCCTCCTGAGTAGCTAGGATTATATGTTGGGCCACCAGGACCTGGCTTTGACATGACTTTTATTTTCATACTTAATGCTGTTTTTTTACATGATGGAAATATTTCTTTAGACCTGACCCTGTAGGTTGAATCATGTCCCCCAAAAGGTACAATGAATTCCTAATCCCCAGTAACTCAAGACATGGAAATAGAGTCACTGCAGATGTGATGAGTTAAGGTGAGCTCATACTGGAGTGCAGTGTGGTCCTTAATCCAGTAGGATTATAATACATCATAAAGTAAGAGGAGAGAGAGAACACACACAAGGAGAGAATGGCACATGATGACAGAGGCAAAGATTGAAGGGATGTAGTGACAAGCCAAGAAAAGCAGAGGATTTCCAGAAACCACCAGAAGCTAGAAGTGGCAAGGATGTATCTCCCCTACAGATTTCAGATGAATCCTGGCTCTGTTGACAGCATCCATAATTTTAAGGCAATACATTTAAATTGTCTTAAGCCACCTAGGCTGTGGTACTTTGTTGCAACAACCCTAAAAATGAACACAGTGACACTCTCAAAAGTTGAAAAAACATAGAATAAGATGTGTTTCAAGAATGATGGGGAAGTGAAAGGGAAAGGCTCTGTTTTCATGGGTGCATATTTGCAAATTCTTAGCCCACACTCATTCCACTCCCACCTTGAACCTGCTTGATCCAAAGCCACCCTTTTCCTCAAGTTTGTAGCTGTCCGCAGTGCTGAAGCATCACTGTGTGAGGTTGTTTCTCGGAGACTGTCTCTCCAGATTTATGAATGAGGAGAGAGAAGGGGTTTGGAATGAGAAGAGGAGGAAATGCACACACAGAAAGCCACTGTAAGATTGTAGACATCCCAGAAATAAAGAAAGGGGCACTTCTGAGATGATTTCCAAATAATTTCAGGAATCAAGAAGAACACTACGAGTGACGATGGATGGAATTTGAGAGACCAAAGGGAAAGTCTTAGTCATGAATTCTACATCAATAGAAGGCTTTGCTGTCTGTCACATGGTAGGGGGACTGATGCTAGTTTCACGCACTTTTGACAAACCAATCGAATTTTCCTCCTTTCTCTGGGACTCGGGAAGCATGTCATCTTTCCTTTCCCATCCACCACACCTGGTAAAGTGCCTACCTGTTCTTCTGACTTTCCTCACAGCACCAATATCATGGGAGGGCAATTGCCTGTTTACCTGCAGGTCTTCGCCTGTAGGCTGTGAGTTCCTTGAGGTCAAGGGTCACATCTTATTGGTCTTTCTATTGATAGCACCTGATGGTGTGCTTGGCCCATGGAATTTCAGTCAACAGTTGCTGAATGAATGAGTGAACTAAGGAGAAAAAGGAGGTATTTGGGGGACTCTCATCGACATTTTGGCATGAATGGAGGATACAATGCTATTTCAGATGCTTCTTACCCTTTAATAGGTAGCTACAATCAGCTAAGCTCAGGTCTTTTTTTTTTTTGCAGTACTGAAGTTTTGAACTCAGGGCTTACACCTTGAGCCACTCCACCAGCCCTTTTTTTGGGAAGGGTTATTTCGAGATAGTGTCTTGTGAACTATTTGCCTGGGCTGGCTTTGAACCTCGATCCTCCTGATTTCTGCCTCTTGAGTGGCTAGGATGACAAGCGTGAGTGACCAGCACCCAGCTTAAGCTCAGTTCTTAAAAGCCATACTCAGAAGGGAGACCCAACACACACAGAGCTTCCCTAGGCCATGTATGTCCTGCCTTGTTTGTGACTGCAATCACTGGGCCCTAGTGGGGAAAGAGCTCTTCTCCTTAGCACCTTTGGGAGTCACTTAGGCTGTGAAAAATGTCAACATTTAGCCATTCTCTACTTTATTTCCAGTTTGTGAGCATGATTCCATTCTAGCTGAATCTAACCTTCTCTTTCACCTTGTCATGCCTACATCCCCTACTGCCACATATCCCAGATTTCTTGAGGGCTTTGTGTCCAGAAACCTACTAGTCAGAGAGCTGTATTTGCTTCCAACACCTTCTTCTCTTCTGTTGGAAACCATGTGGCAACACCAATGGTTTGCAATCCCTCTACCTCATCCATAAGTAAACCAGCCCAAGGGTGCACGGATACAGCAAAGGACCCCGGTGTTTGGCACCTTGGCAGCCCTTCTAGTGCATCATTTGTAAACCTCTGTACTCAACGCATCACAGATTTTTTTCCCCACTTGCTACATGCCTCTGAGTAGAAATGGTGCCCACCAGTAAGAAGCTCCACCCATCTGGTAGCCGAGGTTGGATATATGTAAAATGAAACAAATCCAGGGACTCCTCAAGGTTACCTGGGAGAGAGGACTTGTCTGGAAAGGGTGCAGATGTTATGAAGTGGAGTTTCCCTGAGGAAGACAGACAGACCTGTGATGGATGTCCACACAGAGGAACCTCTGCTCCTGGGACTGACAGAGAGAATGTCATCCTGTTCTCAAAGGTCAGATACTTTTCCTCCATCTTCCATTAGCGGCCTAAGAATCTAATCCTTGAATGACTAAAGAAATTTCTTCTTTTTTAAGGGAAAAACAGGGGAGGTCTTTTTTGTTACATGGGTGGTTTGAGGGAACCCATTAGACAGCAAAGAACCCACATTCTAAGGTACTATACAAGTGACTTTCTCCTCTAATAGTTCCAAGACTGACAAAAGGACTGGCTGGGTTTTGGTTTCTTGGGAATTTTCCTGTCATTGATTCATGGAGGGGATCAGTCCATGGAGAGGCCACAACCTGCTGTCTTCAGTGATTTACATCCACAAAGACTTCATTATGCAGCTAGTCCTGGAAATTAGACCTTGGTCAAATGGTGCACCGCTCAGAATGGATTCATGAATTCAGAATCAATTTGAGGTGGTTTTAGAAAGCAAGGAGAGGCTTGGAAATTAATCTACTTTTGTCAAGGCTGTAACAAATAGGATGGAGGTTAAGGTATAAATGGAAGAAAAGAGTAGGGAGGCTAAGAAAAAAGAAGGACTTTCTCCCTTAGAAGTAGATCTCTGGTGCTAATGCATTTCTTAGTAATTCTTGTGTACCTATTGTGTGGCAGGCTGAAGGTGAATAAGACATCCAGGTCTGCAGAGGTCTTACACTCTTTCCCCTCTTCTTCCTCGGTAATAGAACTATGATTCTTTCTGGGTGTCTGAGGGGAAAGGCTTGCAAGCTCATTTTCCTAGTATCTTTTTCAGTTGCATGTGGCCCAAGTACTGGGCAGTAAGATTTTACTAGCAGTATCGTATGGAACTTCTGGGGTGGTTGTCAAACATAGCTGGGTGTGGACACTTTTATACTTTGCCTATTTCCTTCTACTTCAATCCTAGAATTTGAGTGTGATGGCTAGAGTTCTAGGAGCCATTTTAGACCATGAAGTGATGTTGAGGATGGCAGAGTAACAAGACAGAAGACAGCGGGGTCTCTGATGCTCTATGGAGTCATTTTACCATTCCTGGACTGGTACTCTTTAATCTTTAAGAAAAATAAACCTTTAACTTTTTTAAGTCACTATTTCTCAAGTCTTTATATTAGCCAAAAGAAATTCCTACCTGATATAGTGAGATGCAAATTAAAATCAAGTCCTCAATAAGAGCTGATAGAAAACACCAAGACACTTGAAAAGAGAGAACCTTGGGGAGTCAGGAAAGACTTCACAGAGGAGGGAGCATTTGAACTGAGTTTTGAAGGTTGGAGAGGCATCTACAAGACTGAAGAGCCAGGGAACACAGGGGATTTGAATGCAGGAAGTCATATAAGCATGGGCTTTGTTGAAGAAAAGGAAAGCACACTGCTGAGGTTGGACTTCCCTATTTAAGGTGTGATGTGGCAGCCTGGATAAAATCAGTTGGAATCTTAGAGGTGATGGGGGATCACTGACAGATGCTAAATTAGGGAGGAAAAGATCAGATTTTTAACTTAGAGAAACTTCCTTCTAGCTTTGCATAGAGAAAAATCAGTGGGTGGGTGGGGGCGGGAAGCTGCCATGTGCCAGCGCCTTCCCCCCTCCCCACTTTCACTGTTGTAGGTCTCAGTTCAAAGGTCAGTGCTGAGAGAAGTTTTCTTGACCACCACTCCAACCAACAGCCTCTCTTTAGCCGAACACTTGGTAGATACCAAATTTAAAGACTTAGTGCGAAAAAATAATAAAAAATATCTCATTAACAAATTTTATACCAATTACATTTTGAAATGATAGTATTCTACATGACTTGGGCTCAATAAAATTTTTTTAAAAAATATTTTATGTTCTTACAATCTTTTTATTTTGGAAGAATCTTTTTAATAAAAGTAATTGATTTCCTATAAAAAGACCCACATATCATGAACAATTAAGGTTTTGATCAATAGTAAATATTCAATATTAGTAACAAAATTTATATAATTAAGGAAAGAAAAAAACTCAATTTCATTGGAAATTATGAAATAATTTGATCTGTGATAATTTGACCAATTTATAATGCAAAGGAATGCTTCAATTTGGTAAAGGATATGCTCCAAAGTGGTAAAATCTTTAGCCAATTTCCAACTGAATACAGAATAAAGGACATGCTTGACTGAAAAATATGTTTTCTGAGATCAAGAGGATTGTAGTTCAAGACCTGCCCCGGCCAAAAGTTCACGAGAACCCATCTCAACCAATAGCTGGTTGGGAGGGTTGTGGTTTCAGGCCAGCAAGCAAAAACAGTTTGTGAGGCCCCATCTCAATGGAAAAAAGCTGTGCATGGTGGTGCATGCCTGTCATACCAGTGACGGTGGGAAGGGTAAAACAGAAGGAACATAGTTCATTGCAACCTGGGCAAAAAGCAGAGTAAATAAATAATTAGAGTAAAAAGGGCTAGAGGAGTGGCTCAAGTAGCAGAGCGCCTGCCTTGCAAGTGGGAAGTCCTGTGTCCAAAGCTCAGTACTGCCATTTTAACAAAAAAGATTCAAAAAAGGGCGAATGGCTCCTAGGGGGATGGCTCAGAGTGAATTTTAGATCTCTGCTGGGGAAATGAAAGGGACTTAGGGACACTGAACAGGGCTGGGAGACCTTGGGGCTCAGCAGAGTAGGACTGGAGCAGGAGGGGGCTCTGAAGGATGCCCAGGCAGAAAGGAGGAGCGGTGGGGTCTGGGGTGGCACTTACGCACATGGAGAACCTCGTCGTCTGGCTTGGTTGAAGAAGACTCATTGTCCTCGATGTCTTTGCTTCCGGTCGCCGGGGTGACCACACTGGGGGGCTCATCAGAGCCAGGGTTCACAGACACCATGCTGCTTTGCGGGGAGGACCCCCCACTGGTCCTAGACAGACTGAGGGTGGAGCCTCGGCGGCTTGGTTTGCAGGCTCTCAACATAGGGACTTTTAATTTCTTGGTCTGAAGGAAAGGGAAAAGACAGTGTTGTGAGAAAGGAAGGAAGAAGAATGGTGGAAAGGGAGAAAGGAAGGAGGGAGAGGGAGAAGGGAAGGAGGGAGAAACAAAGAAAGGGAGAAGGAAGGGAGAGAGGAAGGACAGAAGAGAGGAAGGGAGAAGGAAGGAAGGAAAGAAGGAGAAAGAAACAAAGGAAGAGAGGAAGGAAGAAGGAAGGAAGGAAGGAAAAGGGAAAAGGAAAGAAGGAGAAAGAAACTAAGAGAGGAAGGGAGGGAGGGAGAGAGAAAAGAAGAAAGGGGAGAAGGGAGGAAGGAAGGAGGGAGAGGAAGGTAGAAAGAAAGGAAGAAAAGTAGGAAAGAAAAAAAGGAAAAGCCTGGCTTTGTCTATGAATTCCTTCTAACTCTTTCCTGTATCTGAAGTAACCTTTTGACATGGATGGAGATTATTAAAAGATGTGAATTCTCTGAAGCAAATGTGATTTTACAAGAGCACGATTGCCCATAAAGTCACCCAAAGAAACCTGATGTCACCAAGGCCCAGAATGGTTTTTGACTTTTTCTCTTGTGATAACTACTGGAGTTGACTTTGAAACTGTAGGACAGGATGGGCTAATGTCTTTAGCTACACCTTGGTTTAGACCCTGAATTGCATGTACCAACTTCTTCCTCATCAAGCTAAGGCTTGGACCGGCAGGATGAAGATGTGCGTTCACTGGGGTTCTTTGAAGGACATGACATGAAGAACATTCTTGAACTGTGAGTTAGCAGGTGGAGCCGAGGGAAGTAGATCTGGGCAGTGGAGAGCCATTCTTGGGGGAGGATGAGCCAGGGAAAGTCTTAGGATGGACTAAGGGGTAGACAGGGAAAGCCCTGTGAGGGGAATGCAAATTTGGGGGAGGAAAGTACTCAGACAGAAACTGGTTACAGTCATACGTGTGTGGCTTTGTATGCATGCATGTATGATTGGTGTCACTTTGGGATGTGATGTCTGAAGTCATGTCCTTTTAACACTCATGATCCAAATTTCAGAAAGTTTCTTAATTTACCCAAGATCACACAGCTAGCAGGTGGGAGAGCCACGATGCAAACACAGGTGAGGTGAAAGCCAAAGCTTTCACAGCAAGACTCTGTCTTGCTTAAAATATTTCAAGTGTTACCCAAAGTGTCCTGGCTCACACACTAATGATTTTTTATGGCATTTAAAGCACAGGTTCTCAGTGGGGGAAGAACAAGGCCCTTGACTGCTTCAGAAAAAAAGGGCTCAAAACTGTCTGGGCTAAAATTTACACTCAATTAGCCGAAGCAATTTTATTTGAGAACATTTAAAATAAAAGCACTTGAGAGGGGCTGTCTGATGAAATTCCTAGTGTTTGATAGCCTAGGAAAGAAGTCATAGAACAGAGGGGGGCATCGAAGGCCTCACACAGGGAATGGAGTGGAAAGAATTGAATTCAGCAGGTTTATTTTAGAAAGTCCACTATGTATACACGTAAGACTTTGATTGACTACCTCCTGGGCCCTGAATACAGGCGGAGTTTCCCTGCACTGGAAGAGGGGAGGGATTTCTTAGTTCACAAGGGAAGGAGGAAGATGGGGGAAGAGGAAGAGAGAGGGAGGAAAGCTTTGGGCCTTAAGATGTTTTCTCTTCCTGTGCTCGGCTCCCTTCTCCCCCAGGTCTTCAGCAAATTCTACTCAAATGATAGAATGCGTCAGAATGTGACAGACTGGGGAACTGGAGTTTGAACTGAGTTTAGCCAGATAGCCAAGGGGGCACATGGGTTACAAAATGACTGTGATGAAAGAAGAAGTAAACACCAAGAGCTGGCATGGTCTCACCTTTGATAAATTAGGAGTGTGGTATGAGGCTCCTTTCATCCTGACTTTGCAACCAGGACAAGAGCTTGGTAGGTGACAGAAAGCTCCTCCCCTCCTGGCACCCTGGGGAACACATACAGAGGTCCCCTCTTCCTGTTCCATTTGCTTTGGTGTGTATTCCTGTCACTGAAACCAGACTCTTTAGATCAGTGTCATCTTTGTGTTCTGGTGGTGGTGGTGGGATTTGAACTCAGGGCCTTGCACTTGCTTGGCAAGTGCTCTACCACTTGAGCCATGTCCCATCCCTGTTTTGCTTTAGTTAATTCTGACAGGGTCTCACATTTTTTGCCCAGGCTAGCCTGGACTGTGATACTTACTATCTATGCTTCCTGAATAGCTGAGATGACAGGTACACACTGCCACACCTGGTTATTGATTGAGACAGGATCTCTGTAGCTTTTTGCCTGGACTGGCCTCAAACTCTGAGCCTCCCAATCTCTGCTTCCACAGTAGCTGGTATTATAGATGCGAGCCACTGTACCTCTTTGAAGGCTGGGCAGCTCGTGTCACTGGGGCAGCCTGGGGTCTTACAATGAGCACTGAATTCAGAGCAAGGGACCCGGAGCGAGTCAGATGACCCTGCTTCACTTTCTTCACTGATAAAACAAAAGGGATGGACTGGGAGGGTCTCAGAATCTTCCATATCCATAGTTCTGTGTTCATCTTCCTTGAGCTTGGATTTCACCTCATGTTCCTAACATTGTCATTAATTAAAATTGAATTAACACCCCAGTGAGGAAATCCAAAGTGGAGAGCTGACACTTCTGATTAATTGAGAGTGGCATAAAAATAAAATATGTGTGTGTGTGTGTGGGGGGGGGTGTGACAGTAGTGTCAGCATTCTCCTTGCCCTTTATTGAGCTGATTTTTCCTGAGTTGACTTAAGTTCCCAAATGCTCTTCTGTTTTTCATAGTTCACTCAGGAGTGATGTTAACCAGTGGCTGTGCTCCATCTCAGTAGGGACTGATTTTTGGTAACAGAGGACAGGCTTTCCCTGAATGGTTTCTTATACTTTCTAAGAAGCAGGAACTTCAAACTGTGGCCCATGGGAATACATACTTAGCTACCCAGGATTTTACAAACTGAGAGATTTTTACACAAAAACTTAAGTCGTTTTTCCTGAAAACAACAAGCCCAGGGCTCCTCTTCTCATGGGCAAGATGAGCCAGAGCTGAGAAAAGGGCTTCATTTTGACACAGACCTCACTACTCTCTGATTCATCCATTAACACAACTTTCCTGTGTCTTAGGAACACTGCCTGGCCCTAGATAGGTCTACACATTTAGAAAAACCTCAGGGCCTGGGGGAGTGAATGGAAATGGGGTGTTCGCTGGATATCTGGTGGGACCCTGAATATAGATGGAACTTTCCTGCACTAGAAAAGGGGAGGGATTTCTTGGTTGCATAAGGGAAAGGAGAAAAGTGGGATTTCTTGGTTGCATAAAGGGAAGGGAAAGGGAGGGGGGAGAGAGAGAGAGAGAGAGAGAGAGAGAGAGAGAGAGAGAGAGAGAGAGAGAGAGTTTCTAAATTCTCTTCTTACAAATGTAAGAAGAGGGGAAGTGACCTGCCCGTGGTCATGTAGTGAACTGAGTCACAGTGGCTGAACTAGGTTCCCCCATATCCTGACTTAGTGCTCTCCTGCCCTCAGGGTGGACCATGCTGCAGACAAGTTTTAACCTTGGGGAAATTTAATTTTGTAAGAGTCCAGCTCCAGCAATTCACATTCCATCTCCCTCCTCCACTTTCCGTGGTGAATACTCCTGAAGGACATTTTTTAAGGTTTGTGGCTCTGCTGCTTTGTCTGTGCATCTCTGAAGAGGGGAGCAGTGTCTCCATAGCAACTTTCTTTGATAAAACAAGGTCTCTTACTTCTCAGGTCTAGGAGCATACTGATGGAAGGAGAAAATGGCGAGACTCCTCATGAGGGATGGATAATCCTGTGTTTGAAGAGCTCAGTGTTTAATACACAGAGCCAAGATTAACTTCAGGCTGTGCTGCAATCCAGCTGTGTGATTCCACGCAAGTCACTTAACCTCTCTGAGCTCCATCTTCCTCCTCTCCCACCAAAAGACAAGAATAGTTCTCCTTGGGGTTATTAAGAAGGCAGAAATTGGGTAATTTACCTAATGAACAACCTTATACAGAACTTGGTCCACTGTAAGTACTGAGAAAATTGTATAGCTACGTGAGGCTCAACGTCTTCATATATTCCTTTCTTTCTTTTTTTTTTTTGTGGCACTGGAGATGGAGCTCACAACCTTACACACTTGCTGGGCAAGTGCTCTGCCCTCTGAGACAAACTCTCAGCCCTTTTGTTTGTATTTTATTTTGGAGATACGCTCTCACAGGCTTGCCTTGAACTCAGGATGCTCTTGTCTCTGCCTCCCAACTAGGTGGGATTACAGGTGTGTGTCACCATGCCGGGCCTTCCCTGGGCTCTTCACTGTGTTGTAAGGTGGGCAGGGAAGAGCACTATGCCCATTTTGTGGTTATGGGACAGGTGCAGCAAACACTTCAGTTTTATAGTCATGTGCTTGCTCCAGTATCGTTACCTACTGAAATATCACCTCTTGCCATCATTATTAGAGCACTTGTTTGCTGAGTAGGTGAACCGGCAGGTGTAGGATTAGAATAAGTTTGTCTTGAGAAAAACAGACATCATAATATCTTCTTAAAAGCAAACCCACGTTCTAGCTTGTTAAAAATCCTGTGTGTCAAAACACTCACTTTTTTATTTTCTGACAGAGGAGAGAGAGAGGGAGAGAGAGAGAAGGAGGGGGGAGAGAGAGAGAGAGAGAGAGAGAGCTGCTATTGATTTAAAAGACAGAGCGAGGTGAGTCTGTTTCCTTCTGGTGACATCTTATTAAGCAGCTACTCAGCTTCCCCTCCTCCCATCGAGTCCTGTCCTGTCAAATGTCATTTTTCCTATAATCCCCAGGTAACCATTTTAATTAAAATTTACAAAAACCACCCAGTGGTTGGTTGGACGTGGGCTGGCTTCCCTTCTGAAAGCCAACTAGGAAAAGAAAAATATAAAAGAGAATAAAGAAAAAACAAAACAAGACAAATTTCTTAGAGACAAGACTGGCCAAAACAAAACAAAACAAAAAACAGTCCTCAAGGCAAGCTGGGGCCTGGTAGCCAAATGGCAGGGCCGCACGGGCTGGTTACCTTTGGTGCGATGACAAAGCGCTCCCACCTCTGTCCCATGGACTTGTCCTTGTTGATCTTCTTTATTGTGCTCCTGCTGCCACCTGGGTCCCTGAGTGACAAACAGCTTAATGAGCTTTCCCTTTGCAGAAAACTTTGCCTCGCTTTAATACAAGTTTTTTTTTTTTAAAGAAATGCAATAAATAGAGAATGAAGAAAGGTGACTGGTCCCTGGTTTTTTTTTTTTTTTAAACCATAGCTGGATCTTTTGAGTAATAACCCCAGGCGAGAAGAGCCCATTGCTTCCTGGGTGGGTGCTGATGGAGGTAGAGTTTTTTGCAGGCCCTCTGCATCTGTTTGCGTGTTGGACTGGGTTCCTCTGATGGACTCAGGGCAAGTATCCAGTTACTCCTGGGTGTGAACTGAAAAGCGTGTTTATTTCTGACTCTCTGAGTTTTCCATTGTCCAAGAGCCTCGCCCATCGGGGACACCTCAGAACGATATGCAGAGCATTTCTGGTTAGGGTGGGGTGGAACTTGTGATGTCAATGTCATACCATTTGCAGATGAGGAAACAAAGTCCGGAGTGTGGGAGTGGTTGAGTGATTCAGCTAGAAGCACATTTTCAATGAAATGAAGGAAGCTAAAGCTTCAAGGCCCTGGTTTCCTCCAGGACCCTGTGCCTTATTTTATATTGTAATTTTGTACTGTTTTTCTTAAAGTGTCTTCTTCTCTAATTAAGTAAGTTTCAGGCCTTATAAAATCTGAATCCCTCCCTTCATTGACTGAGAACTTTCTGGATAGGGAACCGAAGCCCAGCAGACTCTGTCCATAATACCTTATCTGAAACCCGTGGAACCAGATGTGTTGCCAAATTTACAATTTTGGCATTTTAGAAAGGAAATATGTTTCTCATAAGTTACCACAATCCCTGCAATGGGGCCTGGGGTGACATTTCATAATGAAACACGTTCATGGTTTTGAAATGGAAGACATAAATATTTATATTAGGTGAGAGAAGTAAAAACCCTAAGTAGCTTCAAGTTAAGTTCTTCCATTGAATCAGTTTGGCTCATGAGTTATGAAAAAATGACTTTTCAGAGCCGTTAGATTTTGGCCTCATGGCCCTGGGGCGTTGGGTCTCTACTGATAAGCAAGTCTATTCTCCATCCACCATCCACTCATCCATCCTCCCTCCATCCCTCCATCCCTCCATCCCTCCATCTACCCATCCACCTATGCGTTCATCTACCTGCCCATTCATCCATCTGTCCACCCACCTGCTCACCCACTCCTCCATACACTCATCTGTCCATGCATGCATGGATCTATCTACTCACCATCCACCCATCCACACACCCATCTACCCAGTCATCCTTATGTCCATGCAACCAAGCATCCATGTCTCTATCCATCTGTCCCTCCATCTTCCCATCTATCCATCCATCTACCCATCTCCCTATCCATTCACCCATCCATTCATCCACCCACCCACTCATCCATACACTCATTTATCCATTCATCCATCTATTCGTCCATCAGCCATCTATCCATCTATGGTCCATCCATCCATCCATCTATCCATCTATCCATTCATATATCCATCTACCCGGTCACCTTTCTATCTATTCTCACATGCATGCATGCATCCATCCATTCATCCATCCCTTTTCTTAGTCCCCCTTTTCTCTTCAGAAGGAATTTTAGATGGCTGGGATCCTTTTAATCATCTTGCTAGCTCTTAACTAGCATAGAGCAGGGATTTGAGGAAATGACACAAACAGCACAATTTTGACAGGTGACACTTACGGGGCCCAGGCTTGTCTGGCTTCTGAGTGCTTATGGGGGAGCAAAAGTGGTCAGATATATGGGAAAAATGTAACGGAGATAAACTGAATTTAGGGCTGGCTTCTCATGCAGGGGAATCTGAGTTGCAGAATCACCCATCTTTCACCAGCTTGAATGAGGAGAGGGATTCAGGATCCTCCAGGCATCCACCAGCTCACAACACAGCACAAAAATTGCTTACAGACCCCAAGGTGGAAGTGGGTTTGGGGAGGGCAGGATAAGAATGTGCCTGTGAGCTTTTTGTAAGACTTTCTGTTTGATTACACAATAAAAAGCCCTCTGAATAATTAACAGGGAAGCTCATTTAAGTTGGTTCTGTCTGCCTCTCCCCTGAGTAATCAAATTAGGGAATATTTAAAATCCAGCCAGAGGAAGAAGGAACAGTATTTCAGTCCCATGAACAATATTTAAACTAGCGGCGCTTTTGAAGTCTGATTTAAGGTAGCCAACTGGAAGCTTTAGCGTTTCCACATTGGAGCCAGTGTTTCTTTGAAGACCACAGGGCTTTTAGCTTTTTCCCTCGCTAAGGCGGCCCCTGCTGAGAAGCAGCCTTCTTCCTGAAGTTCAAAAGCAACTCCCCCTTTCCTTTTTAAAATTAAATCTGGGCCCAGCCAACTTTCAAAAATCTTAAATATTCAGGCCCAATCGGAAAGATGGAAGTTTTCCACTAATGCTGACTTCCAAGATGACCTGAAATCTATTGCAACTAAATGAGCTAAAACCGCCAAAAAATCCCTGCAGAATTTCAAAAGCCCTGAGCCCTTGCTCTGCAAAGCCATTGATAAAGAAAAGGCCTAGTCAGACAGAATCAGTCTCTCTGATGTTTCATTTTCAGTAGCAAATAAACCAGAAAGCAAGATCAATATAGGGGAGGACAGAATAAAACCACCCTAGCGTCTTCGTTGACTGCACACCTTGTGGCAAGGCGAAGCAAGTTGGTGTTCCTTCCCCATGGCCTGGTGGGGGAGATCATTACTCATTACTGCTGTTCACGGAACAGTCCACTTCTTCCCTGCTTTCTGAAGTCAGGTGTAGCTCTGCGACTTGCTTTGTTCAAAAATACGTGAGCCCAGATGACAGGTGGCGCTTTGGGCGGATGCTTTTCAAAACTTGTCCTGAGTGATCAGATCCTGTGTTGGTGGCAGAAGTTTGTGTGGAGATAGAAGCCTCCATTCCCTTGGCTCTTGAGTAGCGATCGTGAGCAGAGCCAAGAAATGGGCTTCAGTGTTGTTTAACGCCTGAGATTTGGGGGTTGCTCATTGTGGACATTGTTCAATCGGTTCACCTGCTGTGAGACCTGGGAAAAGTCTGCCTGAACCTCAGAACCAGAGAATTGTTCTGACTTGTGTGTCTTTGTGCAAATTATTGAATCTCTCTGAGCCTCAGTGTTCCCCATCTGTAAAATGGGGTCTAGGTAACAATATGCCAGAGGATTTTTTGTGAAGATGAAAAGAAATAAGGCTTGGACAGAAAACACATTACTGTTCAGCTGCTCACAACAATGGCAAGCTTTTTTTTGACAGAGATCTTATGTGACTTAGAGGAGGAGCTGGGGGTAGGGAACGAGGCAGGAGAGCAGCTCTAGAGGGGAGAAGAAGCTGTAATTTTCAAGCTATAATTTCCCCCTGCTGAAGCTTTTTGGGAGCTCCCTTTTGCCAGAAATCAAGAGAAGAGAGCATTGAGCACAATCTCATCTCTCTTAACTGTCTCCACTGAGGACATTTTGTCCCTGGCTGTCACTTAAAAATGCCTATCCACAGTGGCAATCAGCAATTTTCTCCAGAAATTCACTCTTATTTTCCCCACTCAAATTTGGGGTAAAACATCGGCTTCTCAGGGTAGAAAGCTCGTAGGCTGGTTAGGATGTGTTTGCGTGACCACTGCTGAGGGGAAAATGGCTAGTGTTGAGCCAGGGAAGGGGGCAGAGTTCCAAACTCTCGGGGTCTTCCAGGCCAGGTGACTGCATCCTGCTTCCTGAGTGATAAAATAATCTGACCAGCCTGCCACCTTCCTCCACTCCCAAGATGCCTAGTGGAGGATGTCGTTAAATCATTACGAAGAGACTTCACTCAAATGTCCCCTTCTGGGTGAATCTTTCCTTGTCATCTCATTCAGAGCAAAGCCCCCTACCCTGCCACCATGTCATCACCCACCAATGTCTTCACAACACTTTGCTTCTTGCAAATTATTCTGATTACTACATGTTTATTATGGGTGGCTCTCCTAAGCCCTTCTGCAGGATGGAAGTCCCTGAGAACAGGGATGTGGTCTGTTTTCTTCACTGCATGATTCCCTGCTGTGCCAGGATAAAGCAGAATTTGAGGGAAAAAATGAGACTACCTTGGCTGGGAATGGGACCACATGACAAGGGTAAACCACTTGAAATATAAACAACTTGAATAAAAAAAAATTGCTTATTGTGTGCGTTGTTCAGAAAGATGCTGCATTTTTTCATGAAATAATTAAGACAGAGGAAAGGCTTAACTTTGGAAGATTGGCTAACATATTTCTGTGCATTCATCTACTGGTGAGCACCACAGCACAGCTTCAGAAGTGGAGAGGCACTCTTATGTATAAAGTAAAACAGCAAAAATTTAGCCAACAGCAGCATGGACAAAGTGGCATTTCAAACTATTTTATAAAAGAAAATGATGTATTACATATCGTGTCATCTTAATCAGTGCATCCCTTTCCTATCCTGAGGCCCCCTTTGTAATGTTCCACTTGGTAATTAGTCTTTTTTTGTTGTTGTTGGAGAGAGAGCACCAGATTTTTCTCTGGATTAATGGAAAGCTTTGGGTTTTTGCTACAAATTTTGGAAACCATAGTTACGTGGTTAAGGACCCAGACTTTGTAGCTAGGCTAACTGGCCTCAAATTCTCACTTATGTTTTGCAAGTTGTGCAACTTGCAGAAAATTACTCAAAATTTCTGTGCCTCAGTTCCTCACTGGTAACTTGCAAATGTGGTAACACACCAAGAGCAGAGCCTGACACAGCTGGGCACTAAAATGTTAGCTATTGTTGTTATAAAATAGTAGGTGAATGGAGGTGTTTGTGTCATTTCTGAGCCATCAACGTGGCCTTATAGCCATTGTGTTTTTCTAAGGGAGGGGATGGGGGTGTTCTTTGTGCCTGGGGAGACCATCCCTTGAATGCCTGGACTCTTTCAATACAAGTTAGGATGACTGGGAGTTTGTAGAATGCAGATTCTCAGGACCCCCTAGATCAACTGAATCAGAATCTGCTTTTTAACAAGGTGCTTCC